TCCCTCCACTGTACTTCCTAAGCACATAGTCTGAACCAGTTCTACCTCCAGGGTGAGGAAGTAAATTTCCAATAGTCTAAATCCAACAGAAGACAATGGCAAAGTCTGGACAAAATTTTATAAAAAAGACTCTGAAGGCTGTATAGAGAAGCAGAGAAGGACTCAAAACTTGGAAGAAATGATTGCCAACACCAAGAGCCAGTTTTACCAGCAGAACAACCCTTGGCAAGAGAGTTTAGTACTTCTGTAGGAAGCCTTTGCCCCTCTGGTGAGAGGGTTGGGGACCAGAACAGCTGGATAATGGTGGGGTTAGCCTGAAAGATGGAAGCCAAGAAGCAGATGTCCTCATCTGTACGAACTGTGTTCTGAGCCTGTGGAACTGTGCATATACAGCCACCTGTGGGGCAGGCAAATCTGTATTTGAATCTCATTCAGTTAATTACCTTCCAAAGAAGAAGGGAAATTCTACTCTTTGGAGAAATATAACAGAATTGTGAGTCTCCATAACATAGTATTTACATGTTAATTAAATAATTCAAAATTACTGGACTTGTGAAGAAGTAGGAAAATGTGAACCATTTCTTAAGGAAAGAACAGCCAATAGTTGTCAGTGTCAACTCTGAGATAATGGTGATAGTGGAATTGTCAGAAATGCATATTCAAGGAGCTCTTATGTTACAGCAAAAGAAAATATGCTTTATTTATTTACTAATTATTCCAATTGAATGTACTTAAAGCATACAATGTGCCTTTTAGATAGCCATACATGTAGTGTGTATGGATTGTGTGCTATTACACAACACACGTTTCATAAGCGGAAGTATTGTCTGGTAGATGATGGCCTCTTGATAGCTTCAAGATGGGGACTGGTTTCTAGTAAGACAGACATGATTAGAAGGTTGAGACTTTTCAATCTCATCCCTCAACCTCCAGGGAGGGAGGCCAAGGGTTAAGCAGATCCTCACTGGTCAATGATTTAGTCAGGTGATGAAATCTTCCTAAAAGCTCGGAAGCACTCCATTTGGGGCTTCTTTGTAACTGAACACCTGGAGCTTCCTAGAGGCCAGCGTACCCAAGGAGAGCACGAAGCCTCCCACACCTCCCACACACTATCTACGCCTCTGTGCCCGCCAGAATAAACTAGTGAATGGAAGTAAAGTGTTCTGAGTTCCTCCCAGAGGCACCAAAGATCCAAACCTGAAGCTCTGAAATGCCTATAAAAGACTTAATGGCAAAGCTCCTGGAAATTGGCCACACCAAGAATGTTTTGGCTGTCCAACCAAAAGCACAGAGCACAGGCAATGAAAACAAAAGTAAGCCAGTGGGACTATATCAAACTAAAATATACTTTCAATAAATGAAAAATAGGCTATACTGTTACCCGACAAGATCCAAGGAGGGTCCCTCAAAAGGAGATGGGAGCCTCTGTTCATTCAGCCCATGGGATAAGTGTGGATTCCTGACTTCATCACATACAAAGAATTTTCAACGCGTTTCAGCAAGAGGCACAAAAGTGCCAGCACCAGGCAGTGAGTGGCACTGTGGTCTGGGGCTGAGCATTTTATGTGACCCTAAGGGAGCTTCAAAGTGGGGATCCAGGCTGTGTACCGCCACTGCCTCTCAGGCCACCCACTTGGAGTTCAGATTAGAATATAAGCTCTTTCTGTGTGCTTGAAGTTGAGAGATCGGCTACCCCTTCACAACACTCTTCCTTGGGGATGGAGGACCCTGCAAGGCAAAGCACAGGCTCACTCTGCAGGGGAAAAGCATGGCCCTTAGGGCTTATTGTGTCTTTAAGATTCTCTGGGATTTTTTTTTTTTTTTTGAGTGAGTTTTCTGGAAGGGAAAAAAACACTGAAACTTTGGTAACTAGGTGTCCTGAAACTCCAGTTTTTCTTAAAACTGCATTTGTAAATTGTTATTTTCTTTTTCTTTTCTCTACCCATCTTTATTTATTCTCTTCTACCTCAATATCATCCAAAAAGTAGAAAATTTCAATAGACTTTCTTCAAGGTGAGGGAAAGGGAGAACAAATGTGTAAAGAGTTGTACAAGAACCAGTTGCAAGTTGCACAGTGATGGTATCAGGTGTGTGACTGTGCCTGCTGCGGGGATCTGAGTGAGAAAAAGACACCACCACCATACGGAACAACAGGTTAAACACTGCTCATGTTAGACAAGTGCTGAGCTGCTAAAGCTGGTTGGTTTTTAGGAAAGGTTGTTACAGTCAGGGCTGTAACTTTTAAAAAATTATTTGAAAATGTATAGAAAATGAAAGAAAAAAGAAAATTAAAGAAGAAATATATAAAGCACCATAAAATTAATAATAAACATAGCAAAACATCCAATAAAGAGATGACAGAGACCTATAGTGCTAAAAGAAATGTGGTAGGCAGTGGACAAATGTATGCAAAAGGCCAAACTCACTCTAATTAAAGAATATAATAGCACCTTTTCCTAATTAAATTAGCAAATTAAGTTCTAATGGAAGGGCTAGGAAAATGCTATATTTATATATAAAAAAGCAGTTCAACTGATTTGGAATTAAGTCAGATAACAGTTCAACTGATTTGGAAAGTACTTGGCAATATGTATTAGGAATTATACAAATATTCATCATTAAATTTAATAATACCACTTTTGGATATTTAGGAAATAATGTCAAAGATTAAAATCTTTTTAAATGAAGTTGTTAATCATCAAGTGGCACAGTAACAAAGATTTTTAAAAAGATAATGCTAAGAAAAAATTCTAATGATAGAGAAATTGTTAAGTAAATCAGGGTATAACTATGGGATGGAAGATTGTATAGTCATCAAAGTCTGATGGTTGTGAAGAATATAAGGTGAAATAAACATAAGTAAATTAAGTATTTACCAATAGTACATGGCTACTACAGCAGTAATCTCTTAAAATACATTTGAAAAAGAATATAATAATAACTGCATGAGCGAGATGGGGTTATAAATAATTTCTCCTCTCTAGTTGTAAATCATTGTGTTTAAACATTTTTTACAAGTCTACACAAGAGTTGATATGGCCTAGGACTAGACTAGGAATTCTAGGGAAAACATAGATTTAAAGTAGGCGGCCAAACACACAGCGTGTGGGACTCTGTGTGTGTGTGTGTGTGTGTGTGTGTGTGTGTGTGTGTGTGTGAGCTGAGGGAGAGGAAGCTGTCAAAGTATTCAGAGTCCTCAGTCCTTAGTGGCTGGGAAGAGTCCCCATGCAGCACATACACACAAGTGCTCAGTCTGGGAGACTGGTTGCACTGTTCCATCCAGCAAACCCCCAGAATGGGAGAAGCCAAGAGCCTGGGAGCGACACTCATTCCCAAAGAGTGAGCAGCCGAATTTGTGAAATGCAATGTAATTCCCAAAGATACAGACAAGAAAGAGCTCAAGGACAGAACCCAGGGAAACACATCCATCAGGAGCAAAAATAATACCAATGAGCAGTCACTATGAGACCAGAACAAGATTCACAAAACTCTGAGTTACACTCAGTCCAGGCACTCATCTCATCACCCAGACAAAGACCAGCTCTCACAGAGGCGGCTCCTTTGCAACATGCAGCACCTGCCCTGCAACTTGGGTGCTGCCTGCAATTTGCTCTGCATGTCAGAATACAGTGGGTCTGACAGTTCAGCCACTCTGGACTAAGCTCTAAGTGGATGTGTATTCTGTGGGGAGCTCTGAGCTACACGTGTGACATCCCATTACTCTGCCATAGAGCCAACACAGAAAGGGACAAGCCCTGCTGCTGCATGGAGAGAGAGACCCAGCCTTCCAGCACCACAGCTGAGCCCAGCCTTTTAGCTTGTCTCCTGCCAGGTGCTAGACATGTGAGTGAGCCCTCCATGACACCCTGGCCCCAGCCACCATCTGATGCAGCCCCAAGATGAATCCCAAGAGGCCAGTGCTGGGGCCAGTCCAGCTGAGCCCCAGCCCACTCACTGTCACCCGAACTAATGAATTGATGTTCATGTCAAATCATTGAGTTTGGTGTGGCTTTTATGCAGCATTAGATAAGTGAAACCCCAGGTTAATCTAGGAACTCACTGTACCCTCAGCTTTGTTTCCTACTAAAATGAGTAAGAATTATATTGTCCTGATCATAGGCTTGCCGTGATGGTCAAATTAATTCATGTTAAACCACACAGCCAATTGTGCATTCTCCATAAACTGTCTGTCATTATTTAGAAATGAATTTTTAGAATTAGACTTTTCCTGGTTGTCCTGTGTCTTCATATCCTGCAGCACTGTGGGGAAGCTGCTGGGCTAAAGGCATTTGGTACAGATAGTCTGTCAATGTGCAATGAATGGGATCCCTGGTAAAAGGAGACGAAGAGTGGTCAAGAGATGCAGGGGAGACCTGAGCACTGAGAGCAGTTCGACTCACAGTCGAGTTCTGTGAAAGCCACGGGGCTCAGCGCCGGGTCAGTCCCCTACGGAAACTATTTCTTTGGTGAGGAGCTAGGAGACTGGGATCAAATGGAAGTGAACAGATGGGGCAGGCAATGGGAGATAAATTCATAAAGAAGTGGGGGCTTAGACGGTTCAGGTCTGCTCAGATCTGTTTTAGAACAAAAGAACATTGTGCATGTTTTTAATAATGGGAAGAAATTAAAAAAAATAAAGCAGGCAACTTGAAGGGTACAGAGAGGGGCCAGTGAAGCAAGCCGGGTTCAGGAAGAGCACAGAGGCTCAGGGCAGCTAATGAGCGGAGCACCGTAGGAGGGGAAGAGCAGAAGGTGGGAACACAGAGGCCTCCAGAAGTGAGGTGGGGCGGGCTCCCTGGGACGGCAGGTCGTCCTCAGAGAGCGAGGGGAGACCTGAAGAGCAGAGAGGCTTACTACACGGCAGGAGTGATAAAAGAAGTTGCTGGAGGCGAGGAAACATCTTAGAGCTTGTGGAAAGCATGAATTTATTGTGCCATGAATCCTTGGCTTCATTCGGTACCCTTCTGTCATAAGAGAGTGAGAGAGAAAGGGAGGGGGAGAGAAACAGAAGCAGGGAGGGATAAAGAGAGGAAGGGAAGGAGGAAAGGAGGGGGAAGGAGGGAGGAAGGGAAAGAGAGACACAGAGACAGAGAATGTTTTCTAGCAGTGGGGCTTGAAGGACAAGAAGGGATGGACGGAGGAGGAGCCAGAGGGGAGGTTTCCCAGGACACTGACCAGGACAGAGGTGGGCGACCCAGGATAGCAGTGAGGGAAGGCTGGAACAAGGTGACAGGCTGGCTTGAGACAAGGTGGGCCTGATGAAACTGTCCATAAGACTGAGGAAGTAGGAGATGCTAAACGCACTCAGAGGGATTTACCTTTACAGATCTTAAAATTCGAGCAACTCCCCATAATGCTGTGAGTAGTGGACAGTGTGAGGGAAGTAAGGCCAGTGAGCTTGAATGTTGCCCTGCGAACCGAAAGACAGTTTTGTGCATCAGCGTGGCCTGGGTACAGTTGCCCGTTACTCCTTCAGTGAGTGAAAGTATCCTGAGTAATCTGTGGGCCGATTCAATCAGTTAAAAGGCCTTGGAAGCAGAATACAGACTCCACTGAAAAGAAGAAATTGCACCTATGGGCTGAAGCCTCAGCCGGGACCCAAGACTCCCAGCCTGCCTGTCCTGATGCTGTCCTGGACAGGACTTTGGACCTGCTGGGGAGGTCCCCTCAGCCAGGCACGCAGTTCCTCCGGTAAGTCTTTCATTAGCTCTACTGTCTCTGTTGCTTTAGTTCTGTCTGATACACAGGGATGGACTAGGGAGAAAGACTAGAACTTTTACTTTCTCCCATTGTTTCTACGATTTTGGTATTTCCTTGTAATACAATGTTTGTAAAACAATGGATCTAATTCAGGTTTGAGATGGTGGAACAATGGGCGGATGGATGGGTAAATGATTGGTAAGCAAAAGAAGAAATGTGTAAATGTTTAAAAGATATGAATGAATTCTCTCTAAAATATGAAAAAATTCCTGCTATTTATAAGCTTTGTTTGGGTGAGATAACCCCTAAAAAGCTAATTTTAAAGCCTAGAATTCTTGTTCTCTGTTTTAAGCATCAACTGGAAGTATGAAAAGTGTAGGAAGCATTTCAGCTGGTGTTTTGACAGCCCTTCCATGTACCCAACCTTCCTGCTGTGACACCAGTGTTCATCTAAGAGACACGAGAGTGGTGAGTTTGATTCAGGACTTAAGGTGAGTACAAAATCAAGAGTCCTGCGTACACTTCTGCATTCTCCACCCCTGTTTCTTTGGCAGGAGTGTGAAACAGACGTGGATTTGATTCAGCTAGTGTTTCCTAAGTGGTTTTTGTGAGCAAGCAGTAGAATGATATGAAATACCTCCTGGAAAAGTGGGAACTGCTCCCAGCTATCTCACCAATGAACCCTGAGTTGATTCTTTCCTTATGACACTTAAAGAACTTCAAATTTCTGAACATTGTGTGCAAACCTGGGAACCTCACCTCTGAAAATCAAAATGTATCAGGACCTCTCAGACAAGTTACAGGGACATCAAGTCAGACAAAACTAATAAATAGGAAAGAGTTGGGATGATTCTGACTCTTTGTCTCAGAGCATCAGGTCACTGTGAGACATCCTGTATGACATGTTGGAGAGCTTTCCTGACTCGAGAAAAAGAGAGACTTTCTCTAACAGCCTTCTCATTTCTCCCTTTGTGAAGGGTGATCAGGTGATCTGGCTGGAGCTTCATTTGTGGGTGTTAAGGGAACCCTCGGAGAGAAGGTAGGAAGAGCAAGACATGTTGTGTAGCCTCCAGAAGAGCCTTAATCATCAGAAAGCATTGTGTCTCTGTTATGGATTTTATCTAGATGTCCCCAAAGCCTTGAGAGGTCATAAGGGTTTTTGGGAGGTGGCTGAATCTAGAGTGCTTAATTGATTCATAGTATACAGCTGTGATTAAGAGTGGATAATTGCTGCATGGATTGGATTGGCACTGCCCTAATCATGGTAGATGAAATAAAATATAAAGGACAAAAAAAGCTTCTCCCCCCCCCCCTCTCCTCTCATTGCTTTTTCTGTTTTACTCTGACATGAACTGTTGTACCTCTGTCATGAGTCATCCTGCCTTGGAACCCCTTGATTATGGACTGAAACCTCCATTAACTGCGTTAAATAAACCTTTCCCCCTTTAGCTTCAGGTGTTGGGTATTTTGTCCCAGCAAGGAGAGAAAATAACCAGCACAGTCTCCACAGACCATGTATGGCTGCTGCTGGATTCTGATCCCCTAGAACAAAGCAGAGAGAGAATGGCTGTGAAACAATGAAAGAGCTGTTCTGCCAAAAAACAACAACAGCAACAACAACATGTAAGTTCTGGTATAGCAGAAAGCAAGGCTTTAAAAGAATCACTGGGGTGAGAAGAGGGCTGCTACCCGCTTTGTCATAATGCCCTGAATGACCATGAGTCAAGGGGATCGAGGTGTTGTGGTCGCGGTAGGGGCCTCCAGCTCTGGGCAGGCCATGTGCAGAGTACAGCAGGAGGGAGCCTGATGGAGAGCCTGATGATATCTGTGGGGTGGGGGCTGGGGGGGTGCCTCAGTCTTCCATTGGGCACATCAGCTCCACCCACAGGCAAGTCTAGGGAAGGATGTGCCACATGAGGAGCCAGAGGCAACGGGGCCCCACCTGGCTGGCTTTGTCTGTCAGATAAAGCTTGGGGTAACAAGCAAGGTTCAGAAGCATCACATCCCACATTTTAATGCTTTGGTTCATTTTGTTTGCCATGACCTCCTGTGTATTTGTAAACAGAGTTCAGTTAAGTGCCAGCCGGCTCTGTTCTGTATGTACTTCATGTGTTTGCTTGCCTTTTCAATCAAAGAATTTGAGCTATAATCACTCCCACTTTCTTCTGTTGCAGGGCCGTTAAATGTCCCTCCAGGTACTGTATTTCCTCTTCCAAGAGTGGCCTCATTGCTGACCTCCAGCACCAGAAAACTAGGCTAGGTTGCAGCCAACAGTGGTGTATGGCTCTGCCTGGCCTTTGTAATCACTGGATAAATTGTGCAGCGATTAGAAGTTCAAGAGTCCCCGTGCACACAGCAATGGAGCCTTTCCCACTCACTGTTGGGAAGGCACTGGGGTCCCCTGGGGACTTCTGATACACAGAATGACTTTCTTAGAGAAGAGGGCCCGGTCAATTTATGAACACTAGAATGTGTGCACTAATCTCTGCTTTCAGTCATTTGTTGAAGATTTATCATTCCTGGCTCTGTACCATTAGACAGAAGTAAAGGGATGAATAAGACTTGGAACTGTTTAACAAAAGGCCAGTATCTTCCTAATTATATCTGTAATAACAGTCCCCTGGATAGTGCTTGGATCTGTGAAAGCTAGTGGGTCACAAGCTTCTGTGGCCTGGGTAATCTTACACCCCGGCATTAAGTGTGGGATGCCCACCTGTGGGAGGCAGAAGGCACTCCCACTGTGCTCAGAGAGGTCCCATGCTTTTCAGGAAGCACGGATGCCTCTCCACATTCCAACAGTTCCTCCTCCTGTGCTTAAAGAATTATTCAAAGATGGCACCGGTTCCCACATGACCTCCACCGTTGCTGGCACAGAATGATTTTTGGCTGCAGACATGAATTTGTCAGGGCTTCAGCTCCTCGCACTGGCCTTCCAAACATTCTGTACCTGACATGCTCGAGTGTGTGCTGCTGAGGAGATGTGATGTCAATGCCACATAGAAACAAATACAAAACATGCCTCGCCGCTTCCCAAAGCTCCGGCTGCACTAGTTGGTCAGGATGGATGCTGTCTAGACTTACCTCATCCGCCTCAGATTCTGAAGGGTCCCCTGTGAGAAAAGCACCTGGGACAAGATTTCCTCTGATAACATCTTTCCACAGTATGGTGTAAAATGCTGCCCTGTAGAGCAGCGGTATAAGAAATTCTGTCAACTCATTTGAAGACCTCCTAAAGAGAATCTTCAACGATTCTTGTTCTGACATACGTGAGACATGAGGCTGTGTTACTCAGATTTCCATTACTATAATAAAGTACATGAGATGATCAACTTATGAGGAGGAAACAATTATTTTGGCACAGTTTCAAAGGTTTCTTGGCAAAAGCACATGCCAGGGAAAGCTGCTCATCTCACACTCACAAGGAAGCAAAAGAGAAAGGCCCAGAAGGAGCGGGGGTCTCACCACCCTCTGTAGGGCTCACCTCAGGGACCTAACCTCTTCCCACAGGGCCCAGCCCCTCGGGGTTCCGCTGCCCCCCAAAACTGCCAGCTTTACCACACGGCAGCCTGCAGGGGCTCTGCTCTGTAACTCAGTGTCTCCCAGTTCTGGGACTGCTATGTACTGGTTCCCGGAGGACAGGGAAGGGAGGAAAGCTAAACGTATTGAAAAAGGTACAGGCTATTTCACATAGAGGCTGAGGGTGGGTGGCAACCAAAAATGACTGAATTCCAGAATGCCTTATGGAGTCTTCCTTCCAGAACTGCTGGGCTCCAAATCTCAATGACATAGTACATTTTCAGCTATTGAAAGAGACTCAGCTCATACAGCAGAAGTGTGTCACTAAAGGGTCTTTTTTTAAAAGAGATGCTTCCATGGAAAAAGTCAGAACTGACATGGTTTGGGAGGTTAAAAAAGGTCCTGACACTGATCTTTGTTTGCAGAGAAACAAATGATTCTGTCTGGATTCTTCACAATGGGGGTTATAAGTTTAGCGAGTTTAGCAGCTCTGTGATTCTCATTTACATGGAAAATAAAAGTTTAACAAATAAACCTGATGTATTTTATTATTATTTATGGAGGAGAATTTTGCTATCAGGAAACATGCTGCCTGATCTACTTTGGCTAAGTTCTCCTTAGAGACAGTGATTAATAGAAGGAATGGTCGGAAAATTAGCATACACACAGCTATTCAGAAATGGGAGTAAAATGTTAATAGAGTGACCTTTAAATCTTCATTTTTCTTTATTTCTCTGAATTCTAATTAATGGGCATGTACAACATCAGGAGGAGTTTGCATCCAACTCTATCTCCCTGCTCAGGGGCATTTGGAACGTTCCTGGAGCTTAGTCTCAGAGAACTGACTCAGATTTCCCAGTGTTCTCCCTCTGCCGCTGCACCGTGGCTTTTCTCCTGAGAGTGTTTCCCTGTCCAGTCACTTATTAGCATAGCTGTACTAGCTGTACTAGCCGCATGGTGCTGCAGTTAGAGAGATCATTAGTTACAAATCTGAGGGGAGATGTGGGAGGCTGGAGACCCAGGATGTTTATTGAGGACGGTCCCTGCACAACAGAGCTTCTGCCTGCTTGTTAAATTATTGCCTACCCAGAGCACCTGGGTCCTCAGAGGAAGCCCTGTGGTAATTGGGGACTTTCTGAAGCAAAGGGCAAAGGTGAATTTGTAATTCAGGCAGTAACTCCTAGAATAACACCAGGGAACGTGTTCTGGGAAATATAGCCTTCATGCAGGGAGGGCTGTAGATAGAAAGTACATGCTGAGCCTGGGATGGGGGTTCTTATCATTTGGGAAGAGGAAGAAACAGCTCAAAATGGTTGCAGGGACAACTTTTATGAGGTGAACTTTCTATTAGGCATCACAGAGCTGAAAGGCAAGGAAATTTCAAGCAGTGGTTGGATAGATGTCTGTACCTCTGTCTTTACTTTTCTTCCTGTGTCAAATGGGTAATATTACCTACACTGTAAGGAAATGGAAGCAAGATTTTCTCACAGACAGTTGAAGTTCTTTTAGTACAGACAAAATAGATTCACAAACAGGTCTTGAATCTACTCCTTCCCAGGTCTTTTGTAGTGGGGAAGTAATGCTCAAAGTCTTTTGAAAGCTGAGATAGGTGATCCTGCACCAGCTGAGAGAAAGAAGGCCCTGGCTCAGTCTTTCAAAACCTCTGCTTATGTTTGAAACAGGTCAAAAATCTCAATTCTCATTCATTATCCTCATCATTCCACTTTGACTTTGAATGCATCCGTTTTACCTGACTGCTTGAACACAGTTGTCATTCTCTCCTGCAGTGATACATTGTATTTATCCTGCAAATTGAGTAAGCAAGATTTGTGTCCCATTATGTGTCATTTAAAAAGCAAATGATGATGGCATTTCTACAAGAAACCTCTGGAGCAGCTTTAGTAACTCAAAAACTCTAGCAGGTGATCTACCTTTAGAAAGTCATATATAAGAGAAGACTTGTGTGCTCAGTAGCCATCTCCTTGTGGCACTGTGTGAACAGATGTATTTTAAAGGATTACTTTATGTGGCTGATAATTTTAATCACATACTGAAAAACTTTGTTAGGTTCAGGTGATATTATTCAGTTAGGCAGCACTTCTCTATGGATCTCACAGCACACAGGGTCACATTCAGAAGTAATCTCATTAACCAAAATGGTGAAGCCAGAAAGCCATCCAGTCATAGCAGCTGAATCATCTGTGAAGGTATCAATGCAAAATGGTTGGATCAGTTCTCCTGATATGTAATCATTCAAACACTTGAATAGTTTCCCAGCTGTGGTGTTGATTGGGAGACAAAAGTGCATATAACCTATCTTCATGCACATCCTCCTGAAAAACAGATCACACAAAAACAGGCATTGTTTTGGTTTCAATATAAGTAGACACATCAACCTGAATTGTGTGCCACTGTGACTCATAAACCCTAATAATTCTGCCTCAATATGCTCTGCTGTTTCATCAGTTTGTCTAGTTATGGCCCTAGCCAAAGAGGAACTTATGATGTCACCTTTTTAACTGCAACCTCTCCTAAAGTTCATGAGAAATATCTTTAGCATCAGGCAAGATCAACTCTTCTCCAACAGCAAAGGGCTCCTAGCTTTAGTGGTATGGCCAGCCACTAAGAATGGTGCTCTCAGGGCAGACACATTTGATGAAGTGGTGACCTTCAGTGATCCCTTCTATTCTTTGTGCTCAAATTTTTTTCCTTGGAAAAACTCCAAAGATTTGTCTTTCAATACAAATTGTTTGGTGTCCATGTGGTAAAACCACTTTCAAAGTCTCATGGTTTCATTGAATAGCCAGTCACTGTATTCTATAAAAGGCAGGCTTGGAGAATGTGAATCACCTGTTGCAATGAACCCATAAATTAAGTAGGATTTTTGGTATTTTCTTTTAAACACAAATTTTTCCCTCTGTCTCATCACTGAGTCTTTTCTCTTTTTCAAAGAAGCTCTTCAGTGATGTTTTATTTTTACTCAGTCTTATCAGGATTAACTTGACTGAGACAATTGCTCAGCCTGGGAAAGAGGCATACATAGATGGACGTAATAAAATAATGATCAAGCCACACAAGGACTAAAACAAGTGTCAAGTTTTGACCAAAAGCTTGCCATCAGATGCAGCTTAATTGTCACTTGGCCCTCACTGATGGAATTTTGAGCCGAGTTTGCAAGAACTTGATTTATCATGGTCTCTATGCAATCAAGCCTCTCTACTAATGTGAATCTGTATTTACAGCTACTCCCCAGGACCAGCATCACAACCTCAGCTCCACCTCAGACCATCAGGCATTAGAGTCTCATAAGGACTACAAAACCTGGATCCCTCTCATGTACAGTTCATAGTAGGATTCAGGCTTCTGATAATCTAAGGCTGTTGCTGACCTGACAGGAATCAAAATCCACTTCCTTTTACTTTATCACTCAGAGTTATTGGCCAGAACCTCTGCCAAGTCCTACTAAAGATTATGATGATGTATGTTGCTTAGCATCTCACTTGGCTTTGTGTTTTGCCTTGATCATTTCCTGATGCCTGACCCATATAGCTCTAAAAGAAATTCTATCTTAACCTGATAAGGAGCATTGGTAAAAAAAACAAAATCAAAGCAGTGTTATACTTAATAGTGAAAGAATAAATTATTCCCCCTCATGTAGGAAAGAGACAAGAATATTCACTGTTACCACTTCCTTTCAAGATTATATGGGAGGTGTTATTCTGTGTAATAAGAGTAAGAAATTAAAAACAAACTAATTGGAAAGGAAAAAGCAAAACTGTCTTCATTCACAGAATCATAATCCTGCTTATAGAAAATATTTAAATCTAAAAAACAATTACCAAAACTTATAAAAGAGTTTTAAGAAGTTTATAGGATGCGAGGCTAACATAAAACCAATTGTGTTTATACACTTTTAATTAAAAATTTAAAAATAAAATTAAAGAAAGGATTCTTTCTTTAATTTCTTCTATTAAAATAGTGCCTGAATAGTGAGAATAAATTTAACCAAAGCATTCAGATCTCCAAAATATTGTACTTACAATGTCCAGAAAGCAATATTAAATTGCTTGATGTAAAAATATAACCAACACTCAAGAAAAAAGACCAAATCAATGGGAAGCTACCCCAGCATGACTTACCTGTTTGAATGATCAGAAAAGGATTTACAATAGCTGTGATCAATGTGAGAAAATTCATCAAAGAGCTACATTATTTTTAAAAATCAAATTAAATTTCTAAAATTGAATATTATGTTATCTAAAAAATAATTACTGAAATTAGTAAAATAGCAAAGTCAAAGAATTTAAAGACATAAGATAAAAAAAGGTAAAAAGAATGAATAGAGTTTCAGGAATGTACAAACTAGCAAAGGATTCAACACATGTGAGAGTAGCCTCAGAAGGAGCAAAGGAAAAAAGAGGGACAGGAAAAAATTTGAAGAAATCACAAAAAGTTCTCAGAATTGGTGAAACACTTAAATTTACAGATTCAAAAACTCCAAGAACCCTCAAACAGGCTGTGGATCAAAACAATCGTGCTATGTTGGATCTTAGTTAAACAGCTGAAGTCAAAATCTAAAAATATCGTTTTTCCTTTAGTGTAAAAAATAAATAGTAAAAAACTAGTAGAGTGATAAGATCCAAAATGTATCATAGATATTGTACTGATGAAAGGGAAAGAAAGTGCTTGAAAGGAAAGAACAACTTGTAGTTATAGACATATAACTATATATATATGTTTAAGTGTGCAAAATAGATAACCATATTATTAAGGTTTTGTTAGTTCATCAAACAGAATAGTTTGTACTGTCATTGTTTGATTGTATTTCCATTTTTATGCTTTAATTTTGTAATTTGAGCAACTATTTCTAAGATACATATGTAATTTATCAACTAGTGATTTCTAGTTATTTTTGAGTAGTCATATCTTACAGGGTTTTTTTTTTGAAATTCTGTTTTTTTCTGTTTTGCTTTTGTTCTTAAAATAATTTTAAAAAATAAGGCTAGAGTGACTATATTAATATCAGAAAAATAGATTAAAAAGATTAATTCATCAGGAAAACATGATAACCATGTCACTTTGGCAGATAGTAAAGCTTCAAAATACAAGATAAAAGTTGGACAGAATAGCTAGGTAAAAGTCAGCATGATGCATTGTGTAGTTACGGTTGTAGAACTTGTGACTCAAGTTCAGATCATAAAGTTACAAAGCATTTATTCATGCTTACTGGACATCGGCCTTAGATAATATGAAGCAGTATGACAAGATCTTTAACTTTATTGAGCCACAGTCCTTCTGAGGCATGACACTTGTGTTTCCAGTGGAAGACTAAGAAAGTATTAGAGATAAGGAAAAAATCCTGTGCGCTGTTCCTCCAGCATTGACATGTGGACCAAACAGCCAGTTTTGTAAAGGTGACAGCTGTTATAAGCAGAACACAAGAAGGTGGTGAGATCTAGGACTCAGACCTAGAGGAGACTAAGGTGGAACAAAACAGGCATTGTTTGTTGACATCCCAGTTGCCTCTTGTCACTTATAATGAAATTGTTTTGTCAGATGTCACTGGCATCTCCTCCACATCCAGAATGAGATTTTGTTAGTACAGAATCTCATGGCCATTGCCATAGCAGCTGTCCTAGAGAGAACGCACTGGTGGTAGTAGGTACAGGCCTCTCCCTCCTGCTTTCTGTGGTCTAGGACAACATACCAGTGCTGAAGGCATCCAAGACTGGTGCAGTTCTAAATACAGTAGCGCCACTTTGCTTTGAGAGAAATTCTAGTGAATACATTCAAAGCGCTTTCAACAGCTCCTGGGGAGAAGTAAATACGTAGCACTTGGGATCAGTTGCTACAGTGTGAATGTACCCATTGCTCCAAAATTCACATCTGGGAATTTAAACCCCAAGATGATAGCATTAAGAGAAGGTCACTGAGAGGTAAGTACAGTTTAGGCCACTTGGTGTTTGTTTGTTTTAATCCTAGCTGTTCCTAACTGGTACTCAGAATCAGCATTGATTTGACATAAGTGAAGAAAGATAGCTTTAGAGGGGTAATCTTGTGTAATGGCATGGTGACTGAAGTTATGTTTAAAGTGACATTATTGACATCACAAGAGAAGTGATTCTCTCCAACCTCCAGAATTCTTTATCTTTTGCTAATTGGTGTTATAGTAGGCACCTAGCCCAACTATATGGCTCTGGATTGTCCTACACTTCTAATGCCAGCAGGAGCTGGCTCCAATGTGGACTTGGCTGTTGTACCCAACATCACCATCACCACCACCACCACCACCACCACCACCACCACCACCCTCAACATCATCACCACCAACAACAACAACAACATCACCATTACCACCACCACCATCACAATCACCACCCTCAACATTACCACCACCATGACCATCACCACCACCACAACCACCACCACTGCCATCACCACCACTGCCACCACTGCCACCACCAACATCACCACCACAACCACCACCACTGTCACCATCACCATGACCACCATCATCACAAACACCACCATCACAACCATCACCACCACCACTACCACCACCATCATCACCATCATCATTACCATCACCACAACCACCCTCAACATCACCACCACCACCACCACACCATCACCACCCTCAGCATCATCACCACCACTGCCACTACCACCACAACCACTACTACCACCACCACCATCACCACCTCCCTCAACATTACAACCACTACCATCATTACCATCACTGTGACCACTATCATCACAACCACCACCACCCTCAACATCATCACCACTACTACCACCATCACAATCACCACCAGCTCCACCATCACAATCACCACACAACACCCTCAACATTACCAACACCATCACTATCACCACCACCACCACCACTCTCAACATCACCACCACCACCATCACCATCACCATCACCACCACCACCATCACCATCACTACCACCCTCAACATCACCACTACCACCACCACACCATCGACATCATCACCACCACTGCCACCGTCACCACAACCACCACCACCACCATCACAACCATCACTACCACCACCACCATCGCCTCCGACACCACCACCATTACCATCCTCACCAGTAAGCAACCAGATCTACAAGAGACCACAACACCCCTACCCTGCTCCAACCCTCTGGTATAACAGGAATGTGACTATTTCACGTATTCCTTTCAAATTTTCCATAAACAGCTTTGTGACTAATAAAGATCTGGACCTGTGCAGGGAAGGAAATTCTCCAAAACACAGATGCAGCTTAGCTGAGTTGGCCAACTCACTAGACCCCATGCCTTCCTTTTGCAAGAGTAGCAGTTCT